TACGGAATTCGATCCTACTATATAAATAAAATGGTTTCTTAGATTCGATAATTCTTCGACAGAACATAGCGTATCCCAATTTTCGACGATTAACCTTATTCAGCCATTCAATTTCACCCAGCTTGGACGATACATGATCGCGCCTTCGCAAACCACACACAAACCTCACACACGCATTTTGGACTCTTTGTATCATTGCAGCGACAGTCGCAGATAAACAAGGACCATACACCACGCTACCATAGTTAAAATGCGACAAAACCAGGGCATCACATAACATTATACGGTTAGCTTGATCGAGAACTGATCCGCTACCGTACAGTTTCTTTAGATTAGCAAAAGCTATTCTAATGCATTTTCCTACATGCTCCTCAAATCTCAAATCAGAATCTAATATAAGTCCTAAGTCGCGAGCATTATCACAGAACTCAATTGGCCTATTTCCCATAACCAAATGAAGTTCATTTTTAAGTTGCGTTCGGACTTGTGATCTTGCAAAAATAATAGCAACGCAGTTGGTGGGATTTACAATTAAAGAGTGATTCCTTGAGAATTTATCCAATGACTTCAGATCGTCATTAATTCTATTAGTTTCTTGTAGAGCATCATGAAGTGCAAAGAAGTGATATAACTGGGTATCGTCAGCATATCTATGTATGTTCGTATGAGCAACACATTGCGTAATATTATGGGTATAAATAGAAAACAATACCGGACCCAATACTGAGCTCTGCGGGACTATCAAATTAACACTCCTATATGACGAGAATTCGCAGTCAATACCCACACATTGCTGTCTACCGAAAAGATAGCATTTAAAAACATTTAAAACGTTTCTATTAAAGCCAATGTGATATAAAATGGATGCAAGCAGATCATGGTCGACAGTATCGAAAGTTTTGCTGTAATGTAACAAAACTAAAATACTTATTTTATTATTGTCTGCTGCCTGTAAAATATCATCAACTATGAGAGTTAATGCAGTAGCACAGCTGTGCGCCAACCGAAAGCCTGACTGCGTGTCTCCCAAAACATCTAACCCTTCCAAGTACGTAATGACCTGTTTTGCTACCACTTTCTCCAGAATTTTAGATACAACTGGTAACAAACTTATAGGTCTTAAGTCATTTAGAGCTTTGGGCTGAGGTTTCTTAGGAATTGGTA